CTGACAATTTTGTTTTTTTTTTTTTTGAATATTAATCCTTTAGTTTCGGGAATAAAGTTCCACTTCAAGTAAGTTTTGTAGTCCCTCATTTTCAAGTGTTTATAATAGTTGGTGGAGCTAAAATGCATTACAAATCAAAAGGAGAATATAAAAAAAAAATACATTACTAATAATTAAGCTTGACCAGAAGTAATTAAGTAGCTTCTCACTCACGCAGGTGTTAATAAGGTTTTTTTTTTCATTATCTATGAACAATTTTTTGTGAACGTAAATTTTGTTTTCCAAGAATTTGTATTTTAATAGATTAAAAGGTGTGTTAGTTTCGAAAAGGAGAGAGGGATGAAAAAAAATGAAAGAAAAGTAGGGAGGTTTGATGAGAACTTGTAGTCCGTGAGGAAACCACCCAAATCTTGTACCCAGTGGTGGAACTAGAAATTCATGTTAAGAGGGGCACACTTTAAATCAAAATGGACATAATATATAAACTATCTCGTTCTTTTGGTCGCCTTGGTATCAAATTCTAAGGTGAGAATAACCATGCATTTATTTTTCATTATACACGGTCAACTATATCAAGAGTTGAAAATAAAACATTATTAAAAGTACATCCATTTATTCTTCATTCTTGATATCAAATTCAAAGGTAACTAATCATGCATTCATTTTCTCTTAGTGACCGAGAGAACATTTTTCTAAAAACATTAAGGCATGAGACCATTTGAAGGGTTTCTTGAGCTAATTTGGAAAAAGGAAAAAATTTTGGGAAAACTAATGAAAATGACTTTAAAACTTTGAGTTTTAACGATAAGGACAAAATAAAGGGTAAAGTGAATAGTACCAGGATTAACTTTTTAGTGTAAAAATGTGGTTTTTTGTTAAAGTGAACATTACCAAGAGTTTTTTGTTAAGTTCCCAAAAATTTTCTCTTCTTGATTTCATAGATAATTGGGTAAATTACATTTTACACCCTCAGGTTTGGGGTCGATTTCAATTCCTTACAACATCTTTAAAACATTTCAATTTCATACATTTAGTTATCATTTTATTTCAATTTCATACATCAGTTAGAAAATCTATTAAGTAAACCATTAAGTGATGACGTGACAAATATGTGACTACCAAATTTGTGTCACGTGGCAAATATGTGACTACCAAATTTGTGTCACGTGGCAAGTAAGTTTTGTAGTCCCTCATTTTCAAGTGTTTAAAACATTTTGTACTAACGTGACTACCAAATTTGTGTCACGTGGCAAAAAAATAATTTTTTATGCTTTTTAAATGTTATAATATTTATCCTAAAAAAAAAAAAAAAAAAAAAAAAAAAAAAATCAAACCTAGAAACCATCTCCCCCCCCCCCAAAGACCCACTCCCTCTTCTCCACCCCCCACCCCAACCTCCCCCGCAACCCCCCATCCCACCTTCTCCCTCTCCTCCACTTTCTTCTTCTCCCTCTCCCCCACCCTCATACTCTTCCACGAGGTAAGATTTTTGTGAAATCTTCCTTTGCCTTTTCAATTGGACGGCGGGTTCTGAAAAATTAGGCGCGGGGTTTTGAAAAATTATGGTTTTTTGGTTTTGGACGGTTGATGTAGATGGACGAAGCTGTGAGATCTGTTGGCCCTTTCTGGGGTTTTGGTGAAGAAAAATTCTTTACGTTGCTTAATTGGAGGAATCTTTGGACGCCAACATTGACATGGTGGTGTTTTTTGCGGTTTATGGCGGTGGTGGCTGGATGAATGGGAGGAAATGGGAGGGGAGGTATGGATTTTGTGTTGATATGATTTTGGGTCAGTGGTTGGGTTGGGGTGAATTGGCCATGGGAGAGAGGTGGAGATAGAGGAAGAAAGAGTAGGAGTTGCAGAGAGGTCGGGGGAAATGGGTTTCTAGGTTCTGTTTTTTATTTTTTTAATTAATTATTTTAAACTTTTTTATTAAGTGTTTAGCCACGTGGCACAAATGTAGTAGTCATGTGGCATAAATGTGACAGCCATGTTAGCTCTTAACGGATCAATGGATGGAAGATCTAACGAAAGTATTATTTTGAAATAAAATAGTACATGAAGTATGAAAGTGAAATGTTTTGAAGATGTTGTATGAGGTTGCAATAGACCTCAAACCTGAGGTGGTAAACTGTAATTTACCCTAGATAAAATAATAGACAGAAATGAGAAATTAACCAAAATAATAGTTTGCAAGCAAATGGAAAAATTGTATATAGGCAAGAAATAAAAAATATGATCAACTAATATTAGTAGAGAACTGTAGTTTCAAACCTTTAATGTAAAAAATTTACGGCTTTGTATTTGTTGGATTGAAGTTAATTGCACTAACCAATACAATTACAAATTCAAGTTGATAGTGGTAAAATTAATTAATGATAGTAGAGGTTGTTAGGAAAATACAATCCGAGGATAGGCCCGAGCCTACCCTAGTCTTAGGGTGGCTCTACCACTGCTCGTACACATGAAGAAGGCTTGTATGAAGCAGCGGAAGAGATCTAACGCTTACAGCAATGGGGGTTCAATCCTAGGACTGCAAAAAGATGAGGAGCTTAGCGCCATTTAATAACCATTTCATTTTCAGTTCTTGTTTTCACTGTTTTGAAAATTGAAAACTACTTTCTTGAGTTTTTACTTTTTTGATTTTCAGTTTTCATTTAAAAAAAAAAAAAAAAAAAACTGAAGGTAGTTGTAAAAAAATGATTTCACTTTTTAGTTTTCAAAATAATGAAAAGTAAAAACCAAAAATAGAAAATGAAATGGTTATCAAACTGTCCCTTAATAAGGGAATTGCTAGCATTGTTCGTGAGGCATTAGCTTTCTAGCATGAAGCACGACAATCCTAAGAGTGTGCGAGCACATTATGGACAGGAGGGGACATTGAAGCTCAACTTATCCTTAGAGATTGACACATGCGAAGGGAAAGGCCAAGAAAGGCAATGGTGTTTCTTAAGTACACAAGGAAGGAAAAATACCGATAAGTGCAAATGCATGTTCTACAATAAGGAGGGAGACATGACGAAAGATTGTCTCAACTATAAGAAATGCTTGAAAGAAAGGTACTCCAATTGGATATGTGTGTCATGAATCTTATTGTTTTGAGGCTCCTAGTAATACATAGTAGATTGGTTCAGCTGCTACATTCACGTTTTCAATGTCATGTAGGGTTTTCTACTCTCATTCTGAAAAACAACTTATATAGAATTAGCTTATATGAATTTTTTTTTCTTCTTTTGGTAATTAGTGAAACAACTTATATGGAATCAATGTTTCTACTCCAATTTCAGAAAATTTCAATAAACAACTCTAATGGAAATTCATATTTTGATTCTCATCAACTCAATTTCTTCTAAATCAAATTTTCGGTTAAGAATTAATAAACAAGTCAAGAAAGGTTCTTGGATCCCCCCCCCCCCCTTTTAATTTCTTCTTTGTTTATTGCGTAATTTCATAAAATTTTCAACCCTAACCCAAAAAAATGATACCTAGCTAATTGTTCGATAAAAAAAAAAAAAAAAACAGTGGTGTTAGCTAGGATTTTTAAATAATGGGGTCATAATATAAACAAAAGAAGTTTCAATAGGTTGAGCAGCTAGTAGGCATGTGCCAGTTCCTGTCAACATATGCCGAAAGTTTATGCAACATATGTTAAGAACTAATATTATTTGTGGAGACTTGTCGAGGGTAGATGCAGGATACTGTAAAGTAATGTTGATGTCTGCCAAGGCTTTTCAACTAGAGTATTTTACCGAGCACATGATGCACAAAATAAAGTCGCAAACAAGAAGAGAGAAAAGAAATACAAATATAATATAAGAAAACAGAAGAAGTAGAAGGATGAGGTTGTAATTGAGATTGTCTTAACTGTTTATAGGGGTAAATACAATACACTAACAAATATACATGAGATTTTTGAAGTTGTTGGGGTCCAGGACAACCAATGACCCCATGCTGGCTCCGCCACTGACAAAAGGTTTAGGGGGGAGGGAAGGTTACCCCATCATAAGGCCAGACACAAGCCTCTTTGAGGACTTACAGATAGGGTCTTAGCCCCTTTTTTAGTTTTTACAGATCCCCCACCAAAAGGAATTGCATGCATTAGGACTCTAACCTAGACCTTTAAAAAACATGAGTTGGTTTTATAGTCACAAAGGAGGAAGCCTTTAAGGAAGGGATTCCCATTTATTTAATTTTTTTTTTTAAAAGGAGATTAGTTGTGGCCCACATCACATTGAACTTGAACAATCCGAACCGTTCATTTTTTAAGTTGAACTTCATAGATTATCCTTACAAAATATTAGCGAAATTGAAAATATTTGAGGCATTTAATTGAGTTCAAATAAATTGACGAACACTTTGTTCTAAGAAAAACATTAAAATTTCATCGTGATAATTGAATAGGCAAATGGTTGTAGATTGAATGGAATTTTTGTAAGGATGATCCATGAATTGAGACTTAAAAAATAGACATTTGAATCGTTGAAGTTCGATGTTGAGTGCGTCCCACAACTAATGCCCCTTTTTTTAATAAAATGATGACCTATTCCCTTAAAAGGCCTGCACAAAGGAAATCTATTTTCTTTTTGGTCAAATAGTCACATAAAACTTGCATACACAAAATTCTCGTCATTCCGTTATAGGTAGCCATGTTAAGAAATGTGTCGATGTCCCATTCATCATAAAGTGTGCATAGCACCCCTTCTGAGCGAGAGAAATTCTCTTAGATAATCGTAATGACATTAGTCATCCAATAAATATTTGTTATGTGCTCAAAAAGTACTTCACCTATCCAATAAATGTTTAACACAAATTATCTCTTCTTACATGAGAGTTTCTCTCCATTTGAAGGAGAAAAACGAATTGACCTTTTTAATTTTTTTATTAAAAAATGTAATAATCCTTGGCAATAATGTAAAGTTTAGGTGTGAAAATAAAGGGGCCAATAAATAAATTGCTTATGGTGGTGGTTGAAGAAAGAAAATGACGCTGAAGATTGTTTGCGTTCTCACCTCTAACCCTTTCAGAAATCAGAACCAGAGAAACTAGTACACGCATACTCTCTCTCTCTCTCTCTCTCTGTGCAACGTAGTCTTCAAATTTGGGATAAAAGACCCCCAACTGTTTGTTGAAAAAGCCAATGACCCTTTGTATTTGGTATCCAGAAAATAATAGAAATTTTCTGAGGTAAGTACTTCATCTTTATCTCTTTAAATCCAACACCGTGAGACGCAAGCCTTGCACACTTTTAGCAGGAACCAAATAGCTGGTGAAAGTTTGAAGCAAATATCAAAACTGGGTCCTCGAGATTTTGAATTCTTGATGGACCTGCAATTGGCGATAAAGGGTGTCGATTTTGCCCGGAAAAGGAAGAAGTGGCTCGTTGTAGCGGCCGCTTTAGGTTTCTCCGGTTATGGTGTGCATAGGATATATCACTTGCCTTCAGTAGCTCAGAAGAGAAAGAGAATTTTAAAGCTTTTAGGGGCATTAGTTTCTGTAGCTGAAGTAGTTTCTGACTCTGCAGAGTCAATTGGAGTTGTGTCTAAGGATTTGAAGGACTTTCTGAAGTCTGATTCTGATAAAATTCCAAACAGTTTAAAGCAATTATCGAAAATCGCTAGGTGTGATGAGTTTTCGGAGTCTGTTGTTACGGTCACACAGGCTGTAACTTTGGGGGTATTGCGGGGTTATGGATTAAAAACAACGAGTGATGGCGATGGTGGAGATTCAAGCTTTACAGACCAAGTTATGGATAAGCTTTTTACCAAGGCCGGGTCGGGTTTTGCTTCTGTCGTTGTTGGAAGCTTTGCTAGGAATTTGGTATTAGCTTTCTTTTCAGATGGGAAGTCTGGTGGAGGATCTAACTCAAACAATTCGTCGAGTATGGACGATTATGTGTCGGAAATGAATGATGTTCCGAGATGGGTGGATGTGGTTTCGAGCCAGAAGTTCAGAGATTTGATTGGTGATTGTATCCAGTTATTTGTAAGCACAGCTGTTGCGGTTTATCTTGACAAGACTATGAGTATCAACACCTATGATGACATATTTTCTGGGTTAACCAACCCGAAGCATGAAACAAAAGTGAGAGACATGTTGTCGTCTGTCTGCAATGGCGCGGTGGAAGCTCTTATCAGAACATCTCACCAAGTATTAACAGATTCAACTTCAAATGCGAACCCTTCGAAATCAAATTCGAGTTCCTATTTGGCAATCGATGAAGGCTCAACTCCAGCTAGACACGAGGTCTTGAGGCAACAGGCATTATCGATGCGTTCAAAGGCAAGAAATGTGGACGATGAGAGGAACAATAGCGGTTGGGTTGGTAAAGTGTCCAATACTTTGGCCGTGCCAAGCAACCGGAGGTTTGTTCTTGATGTCACCGGGAGGGTTACATCTGAAACAATCAGATCATTCTTGGAGTTTTTGTTGGACAGACTAAACAATGGGATGAAAAAATGCGTTAATTCTGTTCGTGAGGAAACCGTGGAAAGGGGTCTTGAGGTAGTGAGATATGCTGCTGCAAAATCCTCTGTTATTGCTACTATATCTCTGTCTTTGTGTTTGCACATACTTGACAGTCCATGGGCATTGGTTCCATCTTAGCTTGTTATGAATGTTCTCATTTGGAAACTGCTTGCATATATTCCGTGTAAGGCCGTAAATTTCATTTGGATTGATTCGATTGAAGAACTGATTAGAATCTGCTGCTTACGACGGAGGAGAATTTATGTTTGGGTGGATTCAAATTTGATGGCATGCTGCGCTGCACCGGTCAATGTTAGTGAGATCAAAAGTTTCAGAATTTGCAAAAGAAAGAAACTTCATTGTTGTTTAGATGAATTATAAACAGTATACTTACTTATAGAACATAATAATTTTATGTTATATGATTGCTGCTATGTATTACCATAATAAACAGTATACTTACTTATAAACAGTATACTTACTTATAGAACATAATAAGTTTGTGCATCTCATTTGTTCCGACTGTTTGCAAATATATTCAACCATTTAATTCTTGTAGATTAGTACTGTTGTTGATTTATTGTACATTTGTTTGGTGCTTGGAATTAAAGTGGATAGGATAACTTGATATATTTTAGGTACGTTGAAGGCAGAAATGAAAATTTTTTGTCTAACTTAAGGTAGACGATAGATTACTTTTGAAGGAAACTTACCCCTTTCAATCCCGGAAAATGGGAAGATAAGAAGGGATGAGTTTCCTTCGATGTCTAATCCCTAATCCTCTCAATAGAAAAATCACTCAACTCTAATGACTCTTGCTCTTGAACTTGGTTCTTAGCCTGAATGTCTGATGCAAGGGAACTTGCTTGCCTTGTTGGTAAGAAGAAACAACAGAAAAGAAATCGAATTCGGTTGAGAGGTTAGAATACATGCAGGTCAACAAAACTTATTTTATTTCCAATCCTAATCCATAAATGTCATCTTTTCTCAGAGTGATGTCATTACATTACGTGTTATGGATAGTTTTGCCTTGGCATTTTGGATCATCATCCCGGATTTAATCGATAGATTTCCAAGAAATTGTCCAACTAAATACGTAGTCAAGGTATGCAAGAGTTGTAGTCGTCGATCACTTGCTTCGTCACAATTCACAACAAGAATTCAACTTTGGCCTCCCTCTGTTTGAATTAAAAGATTTTGAGCACCCTCACTATGACAGTCTCAACATGATGGAAAATGGATAATAATTTCAGCATATTGGAAACATGATACTCCATTGTGACATAAGTGGTTGAATTCTTTTTTTTCTCAAGTATCCAATCACTTGTATTATGGCACTTAGTGTACTGACACTGAAAAATCTCGTTGAAAAACGGATACAAACAGGATCAGAAACCGATGTTGAATTATCGATCATAATGGTGTGTGTGAATGTCTTAAAGAAGGGATGGAATGGTTAAGCGTTAGAATGAATTTTCTCTGACAATGGCATCAGTTTTATATAGACATCTTCATGCCTCTTCAGTACAAGTCTATATAAGACTGATGGCATTGTCAGAGGAAATTCATTCCAACGCTTAATCATTCCATCCCTTCTCTGAGACATATCCACACACACGATTGTGATCGATAGTCCAACATCGGCTTCTGGTCATGTTAGTATCCCGTTTTCCATCCCAACAAACGTACGGGATCCCACGCATAACATGTTCAAAAAAACTAGCTGTTTGCCATGATCCTACTGTTTAAGTGCAAACAAATGAATTAACAATTCCCATCCCATCGCTTTACTCTATGAAACGACCAAACATGAGAAGTTTCAGTATACATTGGTTAACTTGAGTTTGCATCAGTCTCCTTTGCCGCTGCATCTTCCTGCTGCTTCTTTTTCCAGTACTCATCAAGTGGGGGTCCAAATATTGCCTTGCCTGAAACAACTCCAATCCTGCAAATTTCATGACAATCATCGGGTTAGCTTGAATGTCACTCAAAATCAGATCACAAATATGCATACAAGTTTCTATAGCTGACTGAAAAATGGAGGGGAAAATATTAAGGTACACGAACAGGATACCAAGTACCATGGCTTTCGGGGCGCTATATTAAATGAAAAAGGGTAAATCTTAAAACTTTGTTAGGCCATTCATAGCTGAAATTCAGGCAAGAAAATAAACTATGCTCAAATTGCTATCTGATACGAAATGCAATTCTTTTAATGATTCTCTCATTAACAATCAACTAGATGATTGAAGGTCTCCTAGCCTTAATGTCAGATCATTTTCTCTACACACAACGGACAGATAACACAGTAACAAGATCAACAAATTACACAAAAAGAACCGATGGGATGTAATGCAAATATTGGGTTGTTAAGGAATCTCAACACAAAATACAGATTCTTCATTCGTATATATCTGCAGTCAAACGAACAATATACACAATCTGGAAATAAGTGTAAATAAGATGCAGTTGTTTTTGGTAATTCAATTGCTTCTATGAAAGTCACTGCACTTTTTGTGTACCTGAATGCTTCAAGATCTCCCTATCCCTATCTCAAGGATTCAGTAACCTCACCAATCCAGTGAAGAGATAGGAGAACGAAAACAGGCTACAAGACTATGCTTGCAGTTAAGAACCTAAAAAACCCCAGCACAATCACAATCTCAAACACAGAGATTGAAGTACTTCTGTCACGAGAGAGTAGCCTCACCAATCCAGTAAATAGATGCCAGAATGAAAGAAAGGCTACAGACTATCATTACTTTGTTGTGGACCTAGTGGTTCCATAATATCAAATACTTTATATGCCTCATGAATGGAAATAAGACAGTGGAACCTGCAAGAAGTTGCTAATGGCCAGAATTTTTCCATAGGAATAAACAGACAGTTGCACGTTCGAATACATCAATTCATGCAGGGTTTAAAAATAACTCATTGTGTTACCCTGTTAGGATCTCGGCTATCAATTTCATGCAGGGATTACCGTTACAAAATGTAAAGGAGAGGCAAATGACGAAACAAACTAAAACTTATAAATAAATAAAGCAAAACAATCTACACATGAGAAAAAAATGTTCCTGCAAACAATCATTGTCATTGAAGAAACTACTCATGAACTGCACATAGCTGTCCTACGAGCGCAGCATTGAAAGCCACTCTATGTATTGCCTACGAAGCGCTTCATAGAAGGAACTACTCATGTCTAGGCTCTCTAAATACAAATGTCTCATCTTATACCAATACATAGCCCATGATAAACAATAACAAACACCACATAAAGATTTGTTTTCCCTTTTTATCGATTTATCTGCAACTACTGCACATTCCAAATTTCCACATTGCCGTTTCCTACCACTTTACATATCGAGTTGGCTATGTCAATCGATCACAAAATTAACAATATCAGAACTTCAGGCAGGTAATATAGAGACCCAAGTAAGTACTTAACTTCTTCACCAAATCACACCCAAACGCTTTTAAACAAAAACAGCACAAACTGCCATGGATCCTTCAGCAATGAATCAACAAAAAAATCATGTATGCATCTGCAAATCAATCTGGGCCAAGACCCAAACACCAAATGGAGCGTTCTGAGAGATAAATAAAGTACAGGACCGCCGATGAACACAGTATGACATAAAGGGTATTACTCCATATTGTTAATCAACAAACTCGACTTGAATTGTAAAGAAAGGGACTTACACGGCTGCTCCAATTACCAAAGGAAACGAGAGGAATCGTCTTCGAAACATTTTCTGTACAAAACACTCTGGTTCTTGTTGCAATTTGTATGCTTGCCAAAATTCAGGGGTTTTCAGCTCCTTGCTTTTGAGGGTTTAATTTAGACCGGTTTGCTGCAACTTTTGGGAAGAAATCGGCTTTCCCCCGGTTTGCCGCATGTTTCATTCAATGACAACTTTACCCCTTTTAGAGAAGAGGTATTCATCAATTTTCCCCTTGAACTTATGATCATTGGCCAATTTTCCCCCTCAACTTTAATTTTGGCCAATTTCCCCCCTCAACTCTCATAATTAGTCAATTTCCCCCTTCAACTTTAATTTGGCCAATTTCCCTCCTCAACTCTCAAAATTAGTCAATTTGCACCTTATTGTTAATTTTTTTTGTTTTTAATTTTCCATCTATTTTTTTTCTTAATTTTCAATCTTTCTAATAACTTCCACCAAAGTACTAAAATTAACATAAACTCGCATGCATAATATAGGGTAAAATGTACAAAAACATAATACAATTAGTATGTGATATGGGTTGATTATAAGAAAAAGTTATGAATCAGGTTTAAAGCATGTAGAAGAAGAAATAATAACAAAAAGAAATAACAATCCTAAACTCATGGATTATACCTATTTCAATAAAATGGGTTATTCTTAATAAGGAGTCAAAAATTATGAATAGACTAGCCATTTTTTCACTAAAGCTCGATTCTCTGCAATTTACTTGAACCTAGCTATCACTTTTATAAAGAAAATTGTATTCACATACAAAAATTTACACATCAATAATTTTCGTTATCAATTTTGTATAGTCAAAAATCAAATAAAATTACTTCATACTGATTTATCATGACTAATAATACTATCTATGATAAATTGTAAAATTCTAAATTTTAATCTATTTGTAATAGGATAAAGATATAGGAACATGATTAACATACATCTTATTTAGTTTCTTACACACACTGGTTTAATTATGATCAAATTAAAAATTAACAGTAGGGTGCAAATTGACTAATTATAAGAGTTGATTTGGGGGGGGGAATTGGCTAAATTAAAGTTGAGGGGGAAAATTGACTAATTACGAGAGTTGAGAGGGGAAATTGGCCAAAATTAAAGTTGAGGGGGAAAATTGACTAATGGTCACAAGTTCAGGGGGGAAATTAATGAATACCTCTTTAGAGAAAGGAAAGGATTTCTTTGGATCTCTTCCACTAATTCACCTATTCACCTAATTCGGACCCTTGAAATTTGAGTCAACGGCTGTAAATAGAGGACCCCTTTAAAAGTTAGGGGGCACCTTTAGGATTGATTGATTGGGTGGATTTGGCGAAAGGGATCCGGCCCTTTCCTTGGAGAAAACTAGGGTGCATACGTGAGTTTAGTCGAGTTGATTTTTGTGTTATGTCCTCTGCACTCAATTTTGAATTTTTATTATCGTAACTTGGTGAATTTAAAATACAAAACGAGTAAAATAATGTGTAACTTCATTGGCATGAAACTTCTCACCACTGACATGACAAAATATGAGTAACCAGTGACATGTAATAGAAAAAAATTCATCTTTGACATAGTCAATGCTAGTAATGTTTGAATTCAAATCTTTAAAGCCGAAAGGATTAGTTTGGTACTGCTGTGTTTTGAAATAAAAAAATGTTTCTGCTGTGCTGTAAGAATAAGCAGCTGTGAAATAAAGCAGCAGAGTGTTTGGTAAACTTTTTTGTAAAAGTGTTTTTGAAAAAAAAAAAAACAATATTATAGTGTTTGGTAAACTTTTATGTTAAATAGTTGTGACTGTGTGAAATAACCAAAAAAAGTATAAAACTAGATGTGACATTAATTCAATTTTCTTAACAAATAAAGGTGAATTACTAAATATACTTTATTGTTAAAAGAAAAATATTTATAAACTTTATCTTAAACATATAATCCAACATTTAACAAGAAATCATAATCCAACATTCAACATATAATCCAACATTTATAATATCTATTTACTATACAACTATTACTCTTTATCGTAAGCATCTCCAACACTAATGGTTATTTTATAAAAAATTAAACTAGTTTATTATTTAAATCCCTATCTTTTTATGTGTTATTACCATAATTAAAATCAGTCCACATTTTTCTAGAAGCTCCTCTCAAACCCTCTTTCTCTCATGTGGCTCTCTTTTCTTTCACATTCTCGTCCTTTCCGCCGCTCCAACCCATTTCACATTTTCATTCTTAATCTTCCTCTCTCCGTGAGATATCTTTCTTTCTCAATTGAAATCCTAAAAAAAATTTCCTCAATGCTGGATGGTTCGTTGGTGGGTTAGATCGCAGGTTCAAAAACCAGGTCGATAATGGAGGAGGGGCCTGGAATAGCTTTGCTTGGTCCAAAAGCTCAAGGTCCGCCACTCCAAGGTCTTGAAGTACGGCCTCACGATCTTGAACGACCTCAAAAAAATATCTAGTCTCGGCATGGAAGGTGAGTGTTCGAGGTTTGGAGTGTTGGTAATTCCATATGGGATTTTGTTAGTTTAATTGGGTTGTGGGGGTATTACCATCAGAGGTAGACTGGATATCACCATCGAGAGAGGCATCTAGCGTCGTCGTGGACAGAGAGGGTTGGTGCAATCTTGCCCGTTGCATCACCGCGTCGACTCTGACGGATTCCGAAACAGCTCACCGAAAATGGAAGATGATAAAAGCATCTTGTGTAATTGTAAATTATTTAATTGCTTAAGGTCATTTTGGGTGCATGAAAGTTTCATTAAAGCTCTCAACACCTCTTAGAAAAGAGGTTTGCGCAGAAGTTGAAAAGTCGGTTTTTCAAAGCTGCCTTTTTGCTGCTTTTGTTTATTGTTTTTGTTTTTTACTCAAAACTGTGAAAAAAAAACTGAAGTTAAAAGTTTACTAAACATAAAAAAGCTCCCAACTTTTTTTTTTGTACCCACTTTTTAAAAAAAAATCACCTTAATACCAAACCAAGATTAGGAGTGATTCACTATGAAAAATTTTTAAGGCCCCTTGTACAACGCCAAAGTTCTCCCTTGCAACTAATTTCTGACGAGCTGGGATAAAAAACATTATTAAAACATGCTAAACCATCGAACAAAGCTTTCAATAGAGTCACGAACAACGACTCCTACACACTCAACCTCTTCGTCCTCCCAAGCACCATTTACATTGAATTTTTAAGAATCTTCTGAATGCTTGGACCTTATAGTCTTGTGTACTTTTATATTCACGACAATGTTACGTACTTGATTTTGGGGCGTGACGTTTAGGCCAGACATGTTACCATAGAGAGCCGATCTTTAGTCACGATTAAACCCGAACTGGGACCGCAAATTGAAAAATCCTACACCCTATTAGTTTGCTCTTCTAAGCTGCCCAACCCAGTCTAAAAGAGGGAAACATGTGGTTAAGTTTATGATATATGGTCGTTGATTAGTAGTTAGATTAAATCTCAAACTCTAGACTTAAGATAATATCAATGTTAATTAGTAGTAGGTCATGATATGAAAGGATATTGAAGATCATAGCCGTCGACCCCCACCCATGCATCTACGTTATGTCCAATTTATCTTATTGCACCTTTCCATTTTTAACTACATCATTTAGATTCTTCCTGGCCTCTATTTCTAACCGACTAAAAATTGGAGGACCATCCATACCTACGTAATGTATAGAGCATGGGATGGTCGTACGCGCATTGGCAAGTTGCAAATCTAGTATGTACTATCTTGAGGCAGTTGAATACAAGGAAGGTCAAAGGTGAATGAGCTTCCACATTCTATTAGTTTTAATATTATATCACCTCAACGTAGCAGGAACAACCTCATATGAGTTTTCTATAATCATATGGACTTTACCACCAAAATCTTGCAAACCATCCAAGTGCGTCCCGCCAACACGAAAAACATCCTTGTCTAGAACAATGTAATAATCTGTCTGAGATCAAAATTCTGTTTACTTCATTGTTTTATCATTGATCAATTTTTGTAGACTTTGTACGCGTTTAGACTTGGGAGCCTTGCGACTTGCAGATAAAGTTCAAACTCATGCAATGCAAAGGACCATAAATCCGAGCGTACAGTGTGAATAGTCACAGTCAAAAAAGCAATATAGAGTGGTGGTAGTGGAAAGTGGGAGAGCAGGGCCATCATGTTTATGTAGTTACAATCCAACTAACTTCATTCGTCTCTGATTTAATTTTAGTTTAGTGCTGTAAAAAAGCCAAACTCCACTAGCAAAGGTCAGAACTATTTTTTCAGATTTTGGAATATTGAAACCCCAAACAACACGCATGCTTAAAAACTATCTCCAGGCTTCTTATTGGTTATATATGAGCCTACCTACAACACCATCTAAGCATTTTTTGAGAAAAAATTACCAACATGATTATATATATGACTCTTTTATAAAAGTATATGTGTACATTGTAACCATCGGTATGGAAACAAATTTAGATTTGTCTCAGCTTTGGAGTTCAACTGGAGAGTAAAAAGAAAAAAAAATATTTAATTTGGTTAATTTATACCTTGCCTAAATGGTTTGTACTTGTAGTGGTGTGAGTTTGTAAGCACTAAAGTGATTGGTTGTGTGGAAAATAAGTTAGAGGAGAGAGATTTACTATCATTCATATTAAAGTCACATTAAACATGTCTTAAGCCCCTCAGATTTGTACGGCACATTCAAGCCTCAATAGGTGGGTAGTAAATCACAACTTCTCATTTTTCATGTTTAATCAACAAAAACAAAAGAAGAAAGAAATCTAAGGGTTCTCTAATCTTGTTCAAAGATTTATTGTACAACACAAAAATATATCATCCATGAGTTCTAGTATAGATAGCTTATGTTAGAAACCAGAAATTGCGTAGATAAGAACAGATAGAATGATCTATGTAATGTACTATGAATGACATAAATACTTTCACCTAATAACTTATAACTTTTGAGTTTGTTGATTTTCATCTTTGGAGAAAATTAAATGAACCCCAACTGAAATTACTTTAAGCGGTTGCAGACATTCATGAATTTCTTACTGGTGTAGAGATGAGGAAGGGGAAAGCATTCAATTCACACGCAGTTCAACCACACTCACTTCTATTGGTTACTTCCAGGGGATTTAAATCCTCTCTAGATTCCCTCACTGGAGATCAATGCATAGTAACTGTTCATCAAAGATCATACGGTTATAATTGAATATTTTTTATATGTTTAAAAGTAAAACAACATTGTTTTACGTAAAAATATAAAAAAAGAAAAAATTTTGTTCACACGATTTTTGATAAGTGGTTACTATGCATTGATCCCTGGAATCCCAATGAGAGGATCCGGAGAGGATCTACACCCCTTCCCAGGTAACTCTTAATTAAGCTTTTTTTTTTTGTTTTTTCGGTAAAACTCTTAATTAAGCGTTGATAAAAGCAAAAGTAGGCAGTTTGAAAGCAGCAGCTAGCTTCTGAGAAGAATAAACAGATGGTTGGTTTTAACCAGACCATGTACTGTTTCATTTAAAAAGAAAATGTTAATTTTATATTGGCAATTGTTATTGGCCCTTCAAAAATCTCATTCTATACTTCAAACTTTCTATATTTGGAAAAAAAAATACAATTATGATAAGTGTAAAATGAGATTTTTGAAGTGCCAATAACACTTCCCTTTTATATATGATGATGTAATTATAACAGTCTGTAAAAGGCTGCATGCGGAAAAGTTCAAGATACATTCTGGAAGATAAAGTTTCTACATTGCATGGTCTGGGGCCTCATGCTGACGGACTATCAAGATTACCAGAAAAGCAACATATAAATCTCGATTACTGAAGGTTAATAGTAAATGGTCGTATAAGCAGGGATTCATGACCTATGGTTGGCTTATTTTTTTTACATCATTCTTTACTGGGCAATAATAACAGAACATCATTCTTTACTACTTTGGCAATGAATTAAATATAGGGGTTTTTTGAAATGGGTCCAAAGTAACTAAAAATTGGACCAATTTCAAAAGTCAAAAGTCACTAAAAATTGAACCTATTTCAAAAGGTAGTCTATAAAATTAGACCTATTTCAAATTTTCCCTTAAAATATAAGTTTCACGTTTATGTGTTCTTTTCCAGGACTAATTTTGTAACATTCTCTTACTAAACATATGTCGCCAGATACATATTTTGTCAAAATATAAATTTTGGATGATTCATTTGAGCCAGAACCAAACCGATCAATAGTTCAAATTTACTGTATGCATTACTAGAGAGTATGATGGAGAAAGAAAAAGCACGGGAAACTTTAATTAGGCTAAACTGCTCTGAATATTTCTTGTTATTCCAAACAAGTATTTCATACATATTCAGTACATAATCACAATACATGTAGTTAACAAAGAAACTTCAGGGATTATGCTTCTGTGTATAGATGTAATCGACATGAGCAGCCAGAGTCCTTCTAATCAAGCACTCCTCCTCTGCAACTCCTTCACAGCTCTCACCCATCACCTCATCAACCTGTTCTGTTTCAACACCCTAATTAACACACACACACACACACAAAAAACTATATATCAAACTCATAATCCCAGTACTAAAACACTATAAAGAAATCACTGTGTAATACTAGAACACATTAAAAACGTTAAAAATTAACAAACCTCGAGTCGGGTTTTCGCATAATTGACTGCTGAAAAAGCTGGTTCTGGTCTTGCTGCATAGACTAATAAAGTAGAGCACAGGACGAGAGCTAAGAAGAAGAGGACTTTAACTGATCCGGCCATTTCTCTGTGTTATTGTACTACTGCTATATGAAAGGGGTAGGGGTATATATAGAGCTTGGTATACACCGAGTGAGAGATTTAATAAATTTATGGAAATGGGATAACATGATGACCATTTTAGGCTTTATGATTGTGTGAACTAAGGGCGATAGAAGGACGACTTTATGTAGCAGAATTTTATGGACCCAAACGTCTTGTACGTAATAGACCACATTGTATTGGATATAACATAATAAATTAAAGGCAGAATATTTCTGTTTCCTTCAAATTTGATTATTATTTTCATGCAATTCGAGCTTATGACCAAATTAATTAATTGGTAGGTTAAAAAAAAAAAAAAAAAAAAAGAAGCGACCGCTGAAAGAAGTATTAATCAAACATAAAAAGGAGTGAAAACTCGTCTTGCTGATATCGCCGGGGATTTGTTTCATTGCATTTCGTTGGTAGATTAATGGCTTAGCCGACCTACACTTGAACAACTTGAAGAGGTTTTTCGTTCATTAAACAAGAAAGAGGCCAACGAATCCAAAAATGATTCCTTGTCGGTTAGAATAAACTGAAGAAGAAAAAGATATTTAGCTAATGGTGTCATACTTCAAGTAAAATAAAGTATAATTCAGTTTGATGTTAGATTTTGAAAATAATTTGCATGCATAAGAAAAATTGCGTGCATCTATTGCACGCTGCATCTGTTTTATAATTACAATACTTAGTGATTAACACATGATTTTGTATGCGAAACACATGTTCCTTGCAATGAGTGTTTGAAAAACGTTTTTTACAATGTGTTATAAGGTAATTAAGTTTGGAGAAGCTTATATCAATCCTCACTTGTTATGGCATATACCCTATGGTACTATTGTTTCCCGTATTCTCTATTCTGGAATTAGAATGTTCTTTTGAGTCGGTGTTGAAATTTTCAAATTGACGGGTCCAGGGGGCCACTCTAATTGTTACATGCCTAATCCATCAGTTTTAAGGATTTGACATAAAAAACTTCGGTATTAATTAGAATGAGATAATCCTATTTAAAGTCACTATTTTTTAGTTACCCCACTGATGTGGGATAGCCAAAGGTCGGCCCCGTTTTCCTCTCCCGCGGCAATACTTCTATATCACTAGCTTGAAGGATTTGACTTTTACTTAATACATTAACCATTTAACAGTCAAAGAAGAGATCTTTAAGGATTATATCGAAATTGAGTTCAAATCTTCTACACCTAAAATTCTTTGCAGTTTCTCTATGACCTATATACTTAAATGACACATGTCATTGGACTTAATTTATCTTTAATTTTTATTTTTTATTGAAAAGATAAGTAAAAAAGTTAACAATATATTAAGTGAAGTTCAAATAAATGATAAGGTGTCAACAAACAAAATGGGTTCCAGGAATGTCACAAAAAAATTTTAGATGGATTTAATCTCACCGAAAGTAGTGGTCGACGACACTGGAATGTTCTTTAGCTTTTTACTCGGGTTGATTATTCAAAAGAATCAAAACCATTAGACAGTCATATTCTACAACGTTATTCATTCTTTCGTATTGCAGTCATGTTGTAAGTCACCATGACATGTGCATGCATGGTTTTCCATTTTTTTTGTTTTTTTTTTTTTGTGCAGCACCAAGTATTTATGCCGTTCGACTTCAGTGTCTTGGATCTTGAGATTAATTACGCGTAATGATACCTGTGTTGACTCAATTCATGAAAAAAGGGTTCCTCCTCTAACAGTTTTTCTTACAATACCAGCCTTTTGTCTATTATACATCAAGTATCACTATAATTAAGTAATTAAACAGAGCCGACTTCAAACTAAGGAGTGATATAATATATATTTGATACATGAGGAAAAACTATTGCATCACGAAACAAAGTAAGAATAATACGATATGTAGTAATATATTTTCTTCCATCCACACACTCGCAGTCTAGCAACAATCAATTAACATAATCAATTGCGCCACTTGTGCCGTACTACTTTGACAGAAGAAATAATTTAGGTTAATGAAAGTACAAGTTGATCTTAATTTACACAGATTTTTTTTAGAATCAATAATCATGTTTGTGTTAATGAAGCAAGAGAACAGAAAAAAATTTACCTTTCTTTACTGAATTTGACCAAAGACAGTTACAAATTCCAGCAAAATGAAGTAAATAAAGAGAATAATGCAGAGTTTAAGGCATGCATATATGTTTAGGGTTTTGTGCAGCCGAAAGGCAGTACTTGAATGAGTCAAAAGATTTCGAAGTTGAAATTCCTTTTGTTTTTTTTACTAGCAACGATCAAATAATTTTATTAATACGAACCAAATAAATACACGAATGTGTTATATGAGTACATTTTTCCAATCATCAATTTTTTAATCTAGAGGTTAATTTGTGCAACTGACAAATAAGTTAAACCCCTACATGCTATCACAAAACTACCACAAGAACTATGTGTAAATAGTACAATTTTGTAACAAAGACAATAGACACGACAAATCTAGCACCGAAAGCACACACAATACCACCACTAAAGTCGAGTATTGGACCAAATTCGTGCACCACCGTGTGGAGGAGAGGAACAAACTCGACAACATGTAAAAGAAAAAACACATGTAAGACAACTTTGGCACTAGTGTACCAGCCAAGTCTCTCTAACTATCAAGTTAGTAAGAAATATATGAGACTCAGGCAATGGGCAAGAGAACAGAGTATGCGATTGCGTTACTAGAGAATACTAAAAGTGTATATTTATACTAGTTAAGAGAGATACCTTTTAGGATATGGAATCCATATTATACTGGGATAATCCAAAAGGATATTATTAACACATGGCCCTTTCCAACTCCTAAAATAGTACATGCCCTAAGGAAGGAAGAAAGACCAAGGCCCAACAAAACTACAAGACAACTACTTGGTGGTCTTGCTTGCCTAGCAATGAAGCTGACTGCTTCCGCATAAAGTACTTTTTTGGTCATGATGGCAAGTTGACATACTAACAACTTTATAGCACGAAGTCCCAAGAGCAGGCCTACTCGGACACCAATCCCAGGCCACATGGTAGCTATCAACAAGAGTAAGAGCCTATGAAGGGACATAAAGGCTGACTGATGAAGTGCTGGGCATGAGTTCCCACAAATCCTAGAGCCGAGCAAGGCGCTCGGTATGCATTGTCCTAAGATAACAAGCAAGTGGACCTTAACAAAAGTCATTTCGTCAGCATGTGTCGACTAAAGAGCAGGTGGGGCAGCTAGTAGGTCACTTCTACATACTTGGTGCATTAAATGCAAAGGTATTGGAAGACTTGAGCCCAGAAACTTAGGGCTCATTAAGGACTTATATAAGGAGTCCTCCTTACGAATTATCGAACAAAAAGAGAGAGAAAAGAGACCAGATTATTTTGACCGATATTTGTAACCTTTATTCAGTATATTCGAGTACCATAGTGGACATAGTCAAGTTTTCAAGGATGAACCACTTAAATCTTGTTATTCAATTCTTATCAGTTCAACCCTAAGCCCACCAAGGGCCGACCACACTGGTCATTGTTAACCTCCCAAATTTGAGCCCTAATGGATATCTTGGAATGTAGGAATCTCCAAGAATATAGGATACTTATTTAATCCTCAATCGGATTAGGTTTTCGTGTCATGTGAAACAAAAGTGGTCGATCTCAACAAAGTTGATGAAGGAAAATATTTGATAAACTAAGTTCATTAAGCAACATACTACATGCATTTAACATTTAAATGGCGGAGCATGCTTGTATGCACTTACAAATAATAATAATAATAATAATAATAATAATAATAATAATAATAATAGAATTAAAATAAAAACTTAAACCATGAAATTCATAGCCTAGTGGTGTGATGAACCAAGACTCAACTCAAAGAACAAAGTGACTTGAGAAACATTATACCTTTAAAGCGCCTAGCAAATGTTTATCATCCATGAAATGGCCTTCTTTCTTTTGCCTCCTTACTCCTTGGCTCCATGGATATGGAAGGATGAACTTTGTTTCTTGGCTCCATGACTTTTTGGATATGGATGGAGGAATGGGTTCTCCAAAAGGCTCCAAAGTTGAAAGCCTCTAAGTTCCTACACTAAGGATGGTTGAGGAAGAAGATGAGTGACCATGGAAGAACAAAATGCTAGCAATGTTCTCCATGGTGGCTAGCCTCTCTAAGGAAAGAGAGAGTTTTTATTTCTCCTTCTTTGCCTCATAGAAAACCCTAATGAAGGATGAAGCTATAATGTTACCTTTATACCTCATTCTAAGTGAGTGGCAAACTTGTAATAAGTGAACCATCACTCATTCCTCTCTTTGGCCGGTTTTGCTAAGTGTGTTTGGGTTAATTCCCATTTTGTTTTGGTTGTCATACAACTTAAACTCAATGGGTCTTGTGGACCAAAACCTATTTGGGTCCTGAAACATGAAACTTACTTAAAGCTCGATATGAACCTTGTTGGAAATGTGCCCTAAAACCAATCATATGATGATACTTTACGGACATTTCAAACTAATGTAGTTTAAAGGGCAAAGATTATTGTTTGAGCCGTCTAATATAAATGTTATATGCTTAAACGATAAGTCCAAGGAATATGTGATTGGAAGAATGCGATCTAAAGAAGTTAGATTCATGAGACCATTCTTTCGTTGACACATCCTAAACGTTCCTGATCATAGGATTGTCAATTGGGCATTGACAGTCCGTTAAGATCAGTACGTGCTATGTCTTCTCTCAGGGAGAGTGACTAGTCTCGAGTCATTGGTGTGTGTGACATCAAGACAAGTACGTAGGTGCTCAATAGAGAATGAGTTCACTGAACACGATCAACGAAGAGTTCTCATATTCATGTCACATGAGAACTCATGGTTGGGATAATGCAAATTAGTCTTTTAACCTGAGGCATCACAGTTGTCTTGTGGTTAGGTCCTTAATCTTTGATTATGTCAAAGTCACTCTATCAGGGTGTCCACGGCATCATTGGGGTTAAGCCACTTAGCCATGGAGGCAAGTGAATGCGCAACAAGGGATCTCTAACCT